GCCAGGCAGCATCAGAGGAGCAGGAAAGCTGACGCTTCTTCAGAAGGATCCCGACCCGAAACATCAGCTTTCCTGCTCCTGTGATGCTGCCTGGCCAGCTGTGTTCCTCCAGCTCCACACTGTGTTATCTCAGACTCCAGCATTGGCAGTTCATACTATCTCTCTGTGAATGAAACTCTCGAGCATTTTATTCCTCTGAAAACCATCTGCTCCATCGTTTGCGCCGACCTGTAAAGTGGTAATTGTGAGGTGCTGTAATTTTGTGGAAATGGAGTGGTGTTTGTCGTTGCTGACAAGGACTGTTGTAAGCTGAGCTAGCAGTTGTTTGCAGTTGCTCTGCCCGTAGATTGTGTGTGGGAGGATGATAGTGGTGGTTGCTGCTGTTGCCAGGGGTTGCCGTCGTTGCCAAGGGTTGCAGTCGTTGCCAAGGGTTGCAGTCGTTGCCAAGGGTTGCAGTCGTTTCCAAGGCTTGTTGTTGTCAGGGATGTTGCCATTCTCAAGGTTATTGTCACTGAGGCGAATGGGCAATTTCAGTGTTCAGTGTTATCATAGGCCATTGTGGGACAATGCTGTGACCAGGGGTAACTATTATCCAAGGTTACCATTGTTGATTGTCAAGAGCACCGTATTTCAGGTTTGCTATTGTTGTTTATAGTTGCTGAAATCAAGGAAGGCTGTCAATGTCAATGCAGTAAAACTCTTCTACACAGAATTATTACTCTACTGCAGATTAGTATTTATGCACTAACACTGCCCTATTTAATAACGCTGATGGATGCACAATTTTGACACCTTTTGCCTGTTGTCCCTAGAGCTGTCGCAGAGTCAACACCAGCGTGTAAATTAAAATCATTGATAAAGTCAAATGGAGCTGATGTTGAGATGGGAAAATTCAAGAATTCTCAGACATGAGCAGCACGGAGATCAGACACATCTTTGATGAAAGCTGTCAGACTGTGAAATAACTGACAGTCATTTGTTAGCTGAATGCAACAGGCAGGGAATCAGGTGACCTTGCTGTTTGGAATGTTGTTTGTGCAACTTGCATGTTTAGAGAAATGCGAAAGGTGTTTTGCTGATCAGTAACATTCCTATATTTCAAATATTACAAAAACGTTCATATAAAGAGCATTCACAGTCAGTCTGTCTTTCACGAGACATAACTCATCAAAAACCTTAGCCCTTCACAATTCCATCTATGCTGAAAAGATAACAGGCTGTTTTTAAAACATGCTCTGAATATCCAACTGAATCAAAGGCTGATTGTCACCAATTGAGGTCCCAGAGTCTCAATTTATATCTCACACCAGAGAAACAAATCATCATTCAATAGGATTGACTGAGTGCTTGCTGAATTTCAATCCAATTTTTCAAAATTATAAAGCTCTGTTTCTCTTTTTCTGCTGGTTTCATCACTTGCCCAGTCGCTCCCTTACAGTGCTGTCGAGGGCACAACCTACACACCTATCACTAGCAGCCACAAGCAGCATCTTTTCAGGGGAAGACGGTCATTCATTTTATGGCAGACGCAGAAATGATGGGACAAATGGCCATCTGTGTTGCTGCATCATTTCAGGAAGCACATTTAATCTATCCCTTTCTTATACATCATTTCCACTTTTCTGTGTTCTCCTCAGATACCTCACTCCCTGCTCTGAGTGACAAACCTAACTGCTCCTTGAATTCATTTTAAACAGTCCATTTCCAAGGCAACTGAGTTCACAACCTCAATGTGTGAAAATGTCACCCTCTTACCCCTAACCTCCTCATTTTTAAACTCTGCCCTCTGACCTTTGATCTGTCACTACAATGGAACAAGAAGAATATTAATTTATTCAGACATCGAGTAGGAGGATTGCTTTAGAATTCAAGGCTTCCGGGGAGCACAATGTTAGCACGATTCAGGTGGGTTTAATGGCCCATAACTGTGTCGGCATATCTTATTGATTCCAACTTTGGCTCATGCTAGGTTAGCAAGACACTCATCTTGATGCTGTTTGTGGAATCTTATCAATGTGCAAAATGCCTCCACAGTGTTTGCCACAAAAGCCTGGAACAATTCGCTGAGAAGACAATAAATAAAAAACGGTTTACAAAACGCTAATTGATTTGCCCGGTGCTCCTTTGCAGACTCAGTTGTTGAAATGAATCCAGCAGATTTTTGGGCAAAAGCTCAGGAGGGGGGGTGGTTGACTCTCAGCAGCTGGGAGACCAAACGTATTGTAAAAGACCCGGTATTTCCAAGCAATAAACTGAAGCAACCATCAGCAATTACCCGGGGAGGGGGGGGTGGGGGGAGCTGCACAAAGCAGAAAGGAAGATGAATACTGTTGTCGTCACTAATCATTCTCACTCTCTTTCTCTTTAGAATCACACTGTGATTGTAATCCTCATCCCCTGACCTTTAAAACAAGAATGAATTAAATTGAGGCAATTTTATGATTTGCGACGTGATGATATAATAAATTTACAGATGCCAGCCTCTTGCTTTGATTATTGGTGCTGCCTGGAGGGTGGTGTGTTAGGATATTAATGAGCTTGATTTTTAACAATTTCACAAGCTGTGTTGCTAACTATTCAATATTTGGGCTGCTTTCACATTCTGGACTGGAACTCTGATGTGTGCGATATTAGCAGGAAATTTCAGGATATCTGATGCTACAGTATCTGATCAAATATCTCGCCAGATTACTTAGACATCCAAAGCATTGCAGCATGGGTAGAATCATAGAGTCATACAGCACGGAAACAGACCCTTCAGTCTAACCAGTACATGCTGAGCATGATCGCAAACTAAACTAGTCCCACCTGCCTCCACTTGGTCCATATCCCTCCAAATATTTCTTATTCGTGAACTTAAATGTCTTAAATGTTGTAACTGTACCCGCATCCACCACTTCCTCTGGAAGTTCAATCCACACATGAACCACTCTCTGTGTAAAACTGTTGCCCCTCGTGTCCTTTCTAAAACTTTCTCCTCTCACCTTAAAATATGCCCTCTAGTCTTGAACTCCCCCAGCCTAGGGAAAAGACCCTTGTCATTCACCTTATGTATGCCCCTCATGATTTTTTAAATCTCAATAAGGTTATCCCTCAACCTCCTATGCTGCAGTGACAAAAGTTCCAGCCTTTCCATTCTATTTTATATCTCAAACCCTCTATTCCTAGAAACATCTGGTAAATCTAGATCCTTCTAGTCAGTGTCTAGTTAACTAATGTCAACTAGGTTCTCTATAATGGTTTGGAATGCTTGGGAAATAAGGGGTAGAGACTAAATAGGGCAATCTTCCTGCTCCTTATGCTTGTATACAGATGTTGGGGAGGCAAGGCTTAACAGTGGCTATAGTCAATTGATGGGTAACACTGACTGAGCAGCACAGTAAGAAATAATTTACATTTATATAGCACTTGCCTCATCCTCAGGGCACCCCAAATATTTCAAAGCCAATGTGCTGTTTTCTTTTATAGCATAGCACCCATGTCCTGAAATAACATAGAAATATATCCCTGTTGCCTTTGTGGGCACCCCTTCATTTGTATACAAGAAGATCCGCAAACAGCAAATGAGTAAATGTTTTAGCTGATTGAGAAGTGGATACTCCCTCAAGACACATTGCAAGAATTCCCCTGCTCACGTTTGTAAATATGTACTGGGATTTCTTGCATTCACTGGACAGACTGATGCAGAACATTTTACCTGAAAGGCAACACCCCAGAGAAGCAGCACTCATCGATGCGACAGTCTGGATTCTATCTCCCTGTTTTGCAGTGGAATTTGAAAATATCACTGGTGAGTCCAAGCCAAGAATGCTACAGCTGAGCAAGATGTAATGTAATGGATTACAGAAAACTAACTGTTCTTTAAAGTATCTCAGCTAGAGACCGTGCCTTTGAATACTTATTCCAGCAAGTGATGTTGTTTATGTTACTATATTTCAGTGATAAGCAACATCGTAAGAGGTAATGCTTGTGGAATCCATAACCTGAAACATTTGCATTCTCCACCACTTGTATACACTAGCAGCAGTATCTACCATCCACAAAATGCATCATTACAGCCTGCCAAGGCCTGCTTATCAATATCTTCCAACCCCATGATGTCCAACACTTAAAACAGTAAGGAAAGTAAATGAAAGGTTCCCTCCTCATCCAGACTTGGAATTATATCCATGTTCCTTGATTGTAACTGGGGAGGATTCCTGGAGCTACCTTCCCGATAGCATTATGGGTTAACCCACCTCATGTGGACTGCAACAGTTTAGGAAGATGACCCACCATCACCTCATGGGCAAGTGGGTAATGGGAATAAACACTGACCTTGTCAGAGATGCCCATGCTACACATATTAAAGAACAAAGAGAAAATTCTGATCTTTACCAGAGGATGGAATCAATGCCCCTCCCTGTGCTGAATTTGGAAGTAGTGGTGGTGGTGGTGGTGGTGGTGGTGGTGGTGGTGGGGGGTGGTGGTGGTGGTGGTGGGGGGTGGTGGGGGTGTTGAGGGGGTGGTGGGGGCAGGCATTTAATAAGGTAGGAAGATGCTGGGAGAGGTCCCCATCATTTTCTTGCCTCTGTCCCAATTGAGTCTGGAACAGGGAGGCTTCTGGACGGTCATTCTGTCCCACCACATATTCAGGCCCTTACGTAGGTGATTAATGTCCAGTAAGTGCCTAACCTGCCAGTGTTGGTATTCACTAAGTGACTGTGCAAATCATATGCCAACTTCTCACAGAGAGGGTATTGGTTAATATCCACAGTGTATCTATTCCATCCTTGTTTTTGAGAATGGGTAAAGTTCAAAGGGAGTTAATTGGGCTATTTATATCATTGGATAAAATTTATGCCCTCCATTATTCAAAATGTTACATAACCCCATGTGGTATAGTGGATATTATCACTGTCTCTGAACTAAAAACTCAGGGCTCAAGCCCCAGTCCAGGATTTATTAGCCACAGAAGGAGTATTACAAGAATTGCAATCATATTTAGTGTGCTGACTGGTTTGCCATGGGATATCTGCCTCTGCTGTAATTGCCTCTGTATGCAGTCTGTGGGAGTCACTAAATACCTGTCACAGTTTCAGTGTGGCGCAGCAGAAAATGTGTGGATTTTCAGAGCTTTCAAAGAGACAGCGACTGAAATAAACAACAAGTTAGAAGTGAAAATAAACAATAACTTTGAATTTCTGGGTAGTCAAAATGGCTGAGAATTTTATGTTCCCTCATGCTGTAGAAATGAAAGGCCGCTTCATGGCAAAACGACGAAAAGGCCACAGGATTTATTTAGAAACCTGCGTGAAATAACTGCACAGAGGCTGGTATCCTGTCACCAAGTCACCCTTTATTTACATGGCCACAGTACATGGGCTCTGATGAGCTAACTCAGTGCCAATCCCTAGGAAATCATAGAATCCCTACAATGTGGAAGCAGACCATCCAGTTCATGATGTCCGTGCTGCCCCTGCTAAGTGCATTCCACCCAGACCCACACCCCTACCCTATCCCTATAACTCTGCATTTCCCATGGCTAACCAACCTTTGTAACTGGGGAGGATTCCTGGAGCTACCTCCCCAATAGCATTATGGGTTAACCCACCTCATGTGGACTGCAACAGTTCAGGAAGATGACCCACCATCACCTCATGGGCAAGTGGGTAATGGGAATAAACGCTGACCTTGTCAGAGATGCCCATGTTACACATGTTAAAGAACAAAGAGAAAATTCCGATCTGTACCAGAGGATGGAATTAATGCCCTTCCCCATTGCTGAATTTGGAAGTGGTGGTGGTGGAAGGGTGGAATTAATAAGGTAGGAAGATGCCAGTAGAGGTCCCCATCATTTTCTTGCCTCTGTCCCAATTAAGTCTGCAACAGGAAGGCTTCTGGATGGTCATTCTGTCCCTTTGGACTGTGGGAGGAAACCCACACAGACACTGGGAGAATGTGCAAACTCATCACAGACAGTCACCTGAGGCTGGAATCAAACATAGGTCCCTGGTGCTGTGAGGCGGCAGTGCTAACCACTGAGCCACCATGCCACACCAAGAGTGAGAAGACTCCTGTTTATTTTGTTTTTTTTAAGCACCCATGTTGTGTGCGTGTGTAAGTGCAGGGACTCAGTGAAGACACCATTGTGCAAACAACTTTATTCAATACTTCCACCACCAGGAAAAACACCTATTGTGGCCAGGTAACCAGTAACAACCAAAGTCCGATAGGGTCAATGCTCACGTGAAAAGAGTGAAGGGGCTCAAATCAAGACAGAGTTGGAGGGGCAAGTAAAGCACCCTACCTCCCGCGATGCCCACCTCTCCCTAAAGGCATTGAGATGATTGGTGGACACTGTGAGCTCCCTCCCTCCTTCCCCGGGCTCGAACATAACCACGGAAAAGGGGCAGGGAGTCAGCCATAATGACCCCCGCCACGCCCCACTGCCAGCATCTATTAATGACCAGCTTAGCCAGGCCCAGGAGCAGACCCATGAGGAGATCCTCTGACCTGTCCGCTCCCCTCCAAACCATGTCCAAAGATCAAGACCGTGGGGCTGAAGTGCAACCAAAAACACAATAGATGATTCTTCGGGCGACTAAAAAGGGAGCGCAAATGCCCACAATCAGTGTACATGTGGTCCTCCGACTGCACAGCGCTGCAACATAAACAGTTGGGCTGGGAGTACATGGACCACTGCCATCCACGGTTACAGGGATTACTGCTTACAATACCCTCTGGCCCAGATTTGCTGAGGGAAAGAGGGAGGACTCGCGCGTAGGGAGCACTCCACTGGGGATCTCCACTGCCCCGTGGTAAATGGGCATGCCAAGGTGTGCCCGAGTGGTGGATGAAAAACAAGAGACGGATGGTGTGCAGCAGCAGTCTGTACAGGCCCTGCTGTTTAACTTTCTGAAAGGACGCACAACACATATTTTGGAGGCGGCTCGGATTGCAGGGAACTGGGTGGGGGGGTGGCGGGTAGTATGGCATCCTGGGGCCAATGTGAAATTCTGTCCGGTGGGTCTATGCGAGACTCCTGTTTATATCTGTCAGCCAGAGCTCTCTGATTGGCCCAAGTTAACCACCTCAATCAGGGGGCTCATACTCAGTGAGATTCACCTGGCCAACCTCATCCCAATCCCTACACCAAGTAAATAAGAGCAGCAACTTTTCCATCAAGTGCTACAAACTCGGATCTCACTTAGGAGCAGAAAAGCCAAACTGGAGGGATTTTAGAAGCTTTGAC